GCTGGAGTGTCAGGAACTATGAGGTCCAACGAGGCGACATCGTCTCCATGCTGTGAGTAACACAACACTGATCTGAACGGATGAGTGAGTGACAGCTGACGGTCAGGTCCAGACTCAGGTCACATGACATATTCTTCACGTTTCATTGTCTGTGCTACAGACTGGACAGTAGCTTTAAACTGCTGCAAATGAAAAATGAATCTCACTGACCCACCCCACAGTGAGACCAACGTTCCTGCTCTGAAAGCCCTGTCCGTGGTGCTGAAGTCAGCCGCTCTATGACGGTGTGTTGATGATAAATGTCTTCCCCATCTCTGTCACTGGTGTCAGTTTCCACCTTGGGAGATGGTACAGAAAAAAGAAGCCGGTTCCCTGCCTGGGTCTGAACCCTGACTTCTGATTGGACAGATGTGCCTTATTTCAATTCATAGCTGAAAGGAAATGAACCTTTTCCACCACAGGGGGCGTTTGTTCATTCATTTTTCTTTAGGTTTTTTAAAATAGTATTATTTATTATTTTTGACCTTTGGACAAACTCTGAGACATCAGTAATGTAATCTCACTTTCAGGTGGTTGTTGCTAACTGTTGCCAACTGTGGCAGACAAACATTTTCAAACACACACAGGACCGTTTCTATTAATTTTTGTTTGTGGTCCTGTGGGACGGGTAATGATGGTCCTCTCTTTGTCTTTTCTGTCTCATACGCCGTCTCTTCATTTTGTCTCAGTTCCCCCAAGAACCCTCAGCAGAAGATCATCAAGCGTGTCATCGGCCTGGAGGGAGACTTTATAAGGTAGGAAGCTGTTGATGCTGACCTGGTCTCCACCAATCAGACCCTCTGTGGGGTCAGTGATGTCACAGACTGAGAGGAACTCCGTTTTTCCTTCTGGTCTCCTCAGAACTCTGCACTACAAGAACAGATATGTCCGAGTTCCTGGCGGACATTTATGGGTTGAAGGAGACCATCATGGACACAGTCTGGACAGTAACAGCTTTGGACCGGTACGATTTGGGTCAGAACCAGCATAACTAGCGTCCAATTGGGAACGTCTTCCAGAACCTCCGGCAGGTCCAGCTGTGACTCTGGAACCTTATCTTTGACCTCCATAAACCCAAAGTGCCACTTTGCACAAAGATGAACTATCACAGTTAGAGCCAACATGTAGCACACCTATTTAAGAGTTAGCAAAAGCAGCTTTTTATCTTTTAGCTAATTGATTTAATTATTTAAATGTCATCTGTTTCAGTTGTTGATTGGATGATCAGTCAGTTCCTTGGACTCTGTCGCCCTCTGCAGGTCTCTGTGGGTCTGATCCACGGTCGAGCCTCCCACATCATCTGGCCTCCAAATCGTTGGCAACAAATCAAACCATCTCTGCCACCAAACAGAGGCCCAGTGGACTGTGAGGAGGAGGAGGAGGACGGATGAAGACACCTCCCCCACCCACCCACGCTTAATGTTACGGACAATGATACAGTTTTCTTTGAAGACTGTGGCTTTCCTTGTATTTTATTTTTTGAACTTGAATCTCAGGAAAAACAAATTCTGACTCTGACTGAGTGAATCTCTGACTGTGGTTTCTACTTGATGCCTCTATTGGCTCTGTGTTTTCCTGACCTACAGCTCAAACAGCTGTTCTAGTCTTTGCTCTGAGGAACTTTATAATAAAATAGTTTTAAATCACTGAGCTGAGCCGCTACTTGATGCTGTGATGCAGCAGCAGCAGCAGTGGCAGCGGCAACAGTAGTAGTAACAGCAGCAGTGGCAGCAGCAGCAGCAGCACCAACAGCAGCAGTGGTAGCAGCAGCAGCAGCAGCAGCAGTATTATTTCCTCTCCCACCTCAGATTTTCCACTCCTCCATCCTCCCTGTTCCTCCTCTCTCTACTCCTCGTCTCTGCTACTCTCACTCATAGAAACTCGTGGTCTGAGCAGGAGGAAGGTCGAGGATGATGAAGATGAAGCCGCTGTGTGTCTCTCTGTCTCTTTCTCTGTCTCTATCTCTGTCCTTGTTCTGGAACGGCGAGGCTGAAGCGCTAATTTCGCGGGACTCTGTGGAACGAGGGCCGGTCAGTCTGAACGACATGTTCCGGGAGGTGGAGGAGCTGATGGAGGACACGCAGCAGATCCTGGAGGAGACGGTGGATCAGGTCTGACTTTTTACTGCCGTCACTGTTAAACCGGAGACGGTGAGTTCACTGACAAATGAGTAAAAAGTCACTTTACCGCAACCCTCGTACGGAAACGGCCGAGGGTTGAAGTGACGTCAGTCGACGACGTCAACAGATAGAGTTAAAAGTTTTCTGCTTGAATAAATGACTGCATTTGGACCGGAAATACATCAGATGGATAATAGACTTATCAAAGAATCATAGTATAACAGTTTGAGTTTTTTTTTCAAACCAATTTTACTGGAGAGAAAACGACTAAAATGTTTAAACATCATTGTCGTCATTGTCGTTTCTATAACTGCGGTAGGTTGGATGAGAAGCTCCAGGTTTGTACCAGGGTGAGCTGGTCCTGGTCCTGGACTCTGGTCTGTTGTGATAAACTCCAACTTTTTCTCCTCCTAATCCCACAGATAATAACAGAGAGTTCTAAGTTCTCATCACCTGACCTGGACCTCCAACAGAACCAGCTGGGAAGTGGACGCAGAACCAGTCCGGTCCTGGAGGGGAACAAGAAGGTTCTTAGTTGTTGACATACTCTTAACTTTCTCTAACTGTTTTTGCTAAGCCTTATTTATTACCTGCTAGTGTTAACCAACTTGTTGATATGATATTGAATTATTAGCCAGGGTTATCCAGGTTGCTGTATTTCTGGTTAATTCTTAGACAAAGCCTGTGCTCTAGTGGTTTGAGGGCCGGGCTCGTGGTTTTAGTCAGTGGTTTGATTCCCAGTCTGTGCTAGCTGTTAGCCTCTTCTGCCGTTGTTTGGTAACATCAAATTTATGGTTTTAATCTACCTTCACTTAGTAAACTTTTCTAAATTCTCATTTTTGTCTTGTTTATACATCTTTCTAATTCTTTGACCCTTAGCCGTTCCTGGTCTAGGTTCTAGGTTCTAGACCTTTTCTTTGTTGTCATATTATCTAGGTTCTAGACCTTTTCTTTGTTGTTGTCATATTATTTTTTTTTGTCCCACTTGTTGTTTCTCATCTGTCCAGACACAGGGCTCGGTGCCATGGAACAGTGTAGCTCACGTACATCTTCCTGTTCTCCACCACTGGGGTTTGAACAGTGATTTTTACTCCGTGGTGACTTTAAGTCAAAACGATCTTCAAAACTTTTTGTTTTGTTTTTGGTTCTTGTTCCTGTTCTCAGTGACAGACAGACCTTTTTCCAGCCTGGTCTTAGTGAGATGTGACGACTGAAGTCTGATGACATCATCTCAACCTCAAACAGCAGCATTATAAAAAAACGGAAACTGCCCTTTAATTCCAGCTGCTTCAGACTCAGAGTCATGTTTACTTTTACTGTGGTTTTATGGAGAACCAACCCGCGGCCTGGAGTCCTGGGCTAGGACATTCCACTGCACCCAGTCATCAGGGCTTCTCATTAAAACACAACAGAGACCGACTGAGAGTGGAAAGTAGTGCCCGTTTATCTGAGGTGTTTAACCCACAGGGTGCCGGTTTGAATCCCGCTCTGCTGGTTTTCTGTTTTTTTTTTTTTTTCTCCTGGCAGCTGCTCAGCTGTGAGTTTGTGTGGAACCTCAGCTTCCTGTGTGGAACAGGAGAAAGAAGGAGCTGAGTGAGTAGACGCCTCCTCTGAGCTGACTAAGTCCACAGACATCCAGTCTCTAAGTGGAGCAGCTCTGGTTCGCGCCCCAGGAAAGTTACGTCATGTGGAAACTGGTGGAAAAAACATCTTTTTATTCCTCATTAAAATAGATCTGGGTCTACACACACACACACCCACACTGCCCCCATCAGTCAGAGTCTGGTCTTCATTCACAGCTAATTGATGTTTTGGACCAATTGTCAAACTGGCGCCATCTGGTGTCTGACCGAGTCACTCTGGCTGTTCTCCTTTTATGGAAAGTAATTGGTGGAAAAATCTTGTAATCGTTCAGCGGTAAACCAATCAGCTGAACCCGGGGTTTAGTTGACCACAGGTCTGTGAATAGCGTGGTTTCCGGTCCATGGAATCTGCTCCAATAACCATCTGCTGCCACCTAGTGGAAGAGGATTTAATTGTTCTGGCTGTCACACATTGATGAACAAAGAAAAATTATTTGCAATAAATAAATAATAGTTTTCGGACCAATTAGGTGAAATTGGACACTAATGTGTACTGGTCCATGGAGAGACGTCTGTGGACAGGAAGTAGCTGAACTGTCCCTTTGACACAAACACTATTATCATTGATCAGGCTGTTGTTCTCCTAGGAGTGTATGGTGGCGGAGGACTGTGGAGATCTCAGCTACTGTTTGTATGAAATCAACAGTTCCAGGTGCCTGCCGTGCCTCATCACTGACATGGTGAGTGAACTTTTATTTTCCTCCAGACTTACACATGGTCACATGACTTCAACAAGCAGAGATACGGTGGAGACAACGATTGGTTGTTTCTCGACATTATGACTGACAACAAAGTCAAACCTGAACTCTTCATCACTCTGAATACACACACACTGGTGTGTGTGCCTGCAGCCATGCACTAAAGACGAGGAGTGCTGCTCAGATCAGATGTGTGTGTGGGGGCAGTGCACCACCAACGCCACCAGGGGGAGTGAGGGGACCATCTGTCAGATTCAGAGTGACTGCAGAGAAGAACTGTGCTGTGCCTTTCAACGAGGTAGTGACACACACTGACACACACACATACACACACACTGACGTACAGTGACTAAGCAGGAACTCTTTTCTTTTTCTGTTCCAGAACTGTTGTTCCCAGTGTGTAACCCCAGACCAGGACTAGGGGAGTCCTGTCTGAACTACCCTAACCTGCTGATGGACATGTTGGCCTGGGACGAAGACGTACCAAAGGACCACTGCCCCTGCGTCCAAAGCCTCAGCTGTCAACCTCATGGGTAAGTACCAAAGAAGAACTATTGTTGACATTGAAGATCAGTTCTGGACTGAACTCCACAGAGGACTCAGTTGGTCTGATCTCAGTTTGGACTTTGTCTCCTCTTCAGTCGTGGATCTGTTTGTGTGGAGGTTCCTGGAGAATAGAACCGACCAACAGACGAGGTACTGACTGACAGGAACCTGTGGAGGCGCTGTGTCAGTACTGACACTGTGGTCTGGATCCTAACCCTAAATAAATACTTCACAGTAGGAAGGGCCGGCACCCCAGTATTCTGATATATTTCTGAAGGTGTGTTTTTGTGGAGCAGCAGCAGAGATCATTTTGATCTTTAGTTCATATGTGGCCCAGTCCGTTGTTGTACCTGTGGATGTTGTGCAGTGACCTGTGTTAATAAAGATGAGACGATCCAGACCAGAACTTCACCGGCCGTCAGTCATAGTTCTACAGTAACTCTGGACCAGAGGTCTAGTCCACAGGTGTCAAACTCAAATTCACACTGAGCCAAAATTAAAAACTGGGACCAAGCCTCGGCCAAACGCAATATTTATTGAAACATTGATCTGTAACTTGGAATTTTTTCATATGGAAACAAACTTTATTTTTGTGTAAATATTGAGTCTGGAAAAAACAAATGGTTAATATTATAAATACATGAAAAATTAAATTCAAAATAAAACACACCAGTGGTATTTTTCTTATTATGTCTCTTTATCTGTAGCCTTTTCAATTCATTTTTAATGTAAAACTTTTTTCACAGACCAACAACCAAAAAAAAGTAGCTCATACACCACTACTACTACAAATCCACCCAGTATATAGATGTTTTAAACTGGTGGGTCAACTCCAGTACACATTTGATATGATCTTGCAGGCCAAATATAATTACACTACGGGCCAGATTTGGCCCCCGGGCACGAGTTTGACACATGTGGTTTATAAGAACCAGACCCAGGCTAAAGTGTAAGCCACAGCAGCGACCACCAGAGGGCAGAATTGTACTTCTGACCACAACAGTCTCATGATCGTTATGTAAACACGTGTGTTCAAACAAAGGAAGATATTAGCACATTCGTCGTGGTTAACTTTAGCTTCTCCTAATTAAAGCAATTTATTCAACTTCAACTTTTAGCTCAAACATTGTTTTAATTTAGTCCAGCCCTTCCTTAGAACTGTTTATAGAACTTTTAACGTTTATCGTTGCACTTCTATCGTGACGTCACGTTTCCTTTACGTTCCTTTTAGTGAACGACTCTTTCAATACCTTTTTTCTATGCTTAACTTATGCTAACTTATTGGCTAACCTTTATATTCTTCTCCAATGTACGTCTTTAGGCCCTTCTTCTTCTCCCTGTTCTTCTTCTCCCGCCCCATTGTGTTTTTTTTACGAATACACTTCGTTGGTTATCATATTAATTTATTCACATCTCGTCTGCCACCTTCTGCTGACGTCACGACAGGCCATTTCACTTCCTGTTCAGTCACCGCCTCCTTGCTGGTAACGGAACGCGTCGCAGCTGTGGCGCGCACACGCACACAGCGAATTCTTACCCCGACACATACACACTCAGTTTATTACTCACACACATACACACACACACGCACGCACACAGTGGACAGAGTGGAGTCGTCAAGCCGGGCTGAAGCGTCCATTTACCGGGTACGTATGTGCTGCTGCATCCGTACGAACATTACGGATGTAACTTAGGGGATTCGCAGGGAAAGCCTACGCACATTTACACACGTAAAGTTTGACGTCGACGTTCGTTCGTTCGTTTGGTTTAAAGTGTCGTTTACTAGGGGCCCCGTCGTCAACAATCCGTCAAAGATTTTATTTTTTTCCCGCCGCTCAGTCTTCGGTCTTTTCCTGCTGCGACACTTTTCCTGCTGCGACACTTTCCTCCGGGGTCGACATGGAGGCGGACCGAGCTCCACCTCGGTTTTCCTTGTTTTCCTCTTCCATGTTCTTTTCCTTGGTTCCGCATAAACTTCAGGAAAAGCTTTGATGTCCAGAGGAAGACAGTGACGTAGGAACACTAACGAATAACGAGGAGGGGAAAATGTCACGTGTCGCTTTAATTTTTACCTTCTTGGTCCTGCAGTTTAAGTTTGAACTGACATCCTGGTCGTTTTTACCCTTTTAAAAAAAATATTTATAATATTCATAACTAATTTAAACACTTTTTGCTGCTTCATGGTTTGGTTGAACTTTTTTGCTCCTCCAGCGTTAGATAATTTGAATTTGATTGATTTTTATTGTACCTTTTTACCTTTTTAGTTCTTTTTACTCTAAGCTTAACAATTATTGATATTTTTTTAACTTTAAAACAGGTGACACAGTGAGCCTTACATTGGTCTATGTCTGCCACAGCCGTGGCCCAGGTTTGAGGAACCTGTGGTGGTGATTGTTTCATGGGAGGTGAAACACAGCGCCCCCAGGAGGTTTATCAGACTATGTTAATAGATAAGTGTGAGTCAAATATTTATTATTTATCACAAACACAATAAACCCTCCCAAACCACATTGGCTAACAGTGACACCACTGTGTGTTATGACATTTTACTAAACAGGAAGTGGATTTCTGTAACTGACGTGTTTCAACATGAAGATTTGTCCATCACCAGGTCGTGTGGTGATCATGGGCCTCAGTGGGTCTGGTGTTTGTGGCCTAAGTGCTGAGTCTGTTGTCCTTTGTTTTGGAGCTTGTGGTTGTTTGGACAGGTGTCAGGTGAAGACTTCTCCTCTGAGACACTCTGTTGTCAGACATTGAGGTTTGATCTGCCGGTTAAACTGTGGGACGTCGTCCAGATGATCTAAATTTAAACATTACAAGGTGTTGGATTAATTATTCATGGTCCCTCCTCAGGGATCAGCTTCAGTCTCAGGCTGATGCTGGCCTCAGGACTGGAGGCAGATTCTGTAGTTCCATGTTCCCTGTACAGATGAGTACTCAGATGAGTCTGAGAAACACAGCGCCCCCAGGAGGTTTATCACAATCAAACACAATAAACCCTCCCAAACCACATTGGCTAACAGTGACACCACTGTGTGTTATGACATTTTACTAAACAGGAAGTGGATTTCTGTAACTGACGTGTTTCAACATGAAGATTTGTCCATCACCAGGTCGTGTGGTGATCATGGGCCTCAGTGGGTCTGGTGTTTGTGGCCTAAGTGCTGAGTCTGTTGTCCTTTTGTTTTGGAGCTTGTGGTTGTTTGGACAGGTGTCAGGTGAAGACTTCTCCTCTGAGACACTCTGTTGTCAGACATTGAGGTTTGATCTGCCGGTTAAACTGTGGGACGTCGTCCAGATGATCTAAATTTAAACATTACAAGGTGTTGGATTAATTATTCATGGTCCCTCCTCAGGGATCAGCTTCAGTCTCAGGCTGATGCTGGCCTCAGGACTGGAGGCAGATTCTGTAGTTCCATGTTCCCTGTACAGATGAGTACTCAGATGAGTCTGAGTCTCTTCTCTCCTCCTCCTCCTCCTCCTCCCTGTGGAGCCTCTTGGCAGCAGATGCTGATGCCGCAAACAAAGACCCAGTCTCTGCTGCAGCATCACTGGGAGCTGAGGGAACAGTTCCACTCAGTTCCACTCTGGTTCCACAGACGGAGCCCACGCAGCCACAGGAGTGTGGTTGTCATGGCAGCACAGTTGGTTCGTCTCAGGGTGGTTCCTGTTCTTCATGTTGAACACATTCTTTTGTTCAGCACTGTCAGATGTTCTAGAAGAGGAACACGGGTGAAATGTTCAACAGCTGGGGTGGTTCAGGTTGGTTTGTGGAGCAGTGGTCAACGCTTCTACAACAGGAAGGTCAGTGGTTCGATGCTCAGTTCTAACAGATCTAGTCGTGAGGTGTGTGTGTGTGTGTATCTGCAGTTTGTTTGCAGTTTTTGGTTCAGTACAAAAGTCTGGGGTCGGTTCGTTTCCTTGTTGATAAATAACCCTGCAGTGAAGAACTAACCAACTAACCAGGTGGTGGTAACTAACCTGCAGGGTGCCCGGCAGCAGAGGAGAACCATTTTAAAACATTGCTGTTGCAGTGACTTCTCACAGTGGTGTGAACTGGACTCACTGTCCGGTCATGTGACCTGAGGAATGTCTGCTGATGTTTGTCTGAGCCACTGACTGACTGAGGTCCAGAGGAGAAGTTGACTGGTTGACTGACTGGTTTAACATCAACAAAGAGTCCATCTGTTGTGTTGGCTGAAGGTGTAAAATTACATTACTGTCGTGAACCTGGTTCCACTGTTTTGGAATTGTTTACACATGATCTCACACCTGGTGTTGAGGACAGAAGATTCTCTGGCTAGTAGTATCAAAGAGGTGGCCAAAGCTATGGTGAACCGTAGACTATAAATGAAAGGTTTACTCAGACATTGCTGTGAGTGAGAAGTCAAGTCAAACATAGCTAAAAGTTAGCTAGAAGCTAGCAGAAGAAACTGTAGATAGCAAAAATCAAGATTATTTTGGAAACGCTAAATTCACTAGAGACATTTGCTTCTCAAAATGTGTTAACATCATTTCATCAATTTTTCCACTCAACAATTTATATCAAGTCATTTATTAACCCTTTAAACTGATTACGTGTCTGTCCGAAGGATGTCAGGAAGAGGTTCTCTTAATTCAAACTGACGCCGTCACAAGGGCATCACACATGCTGACACGGTCGTAGACGTGGTCATAGATTCGGTTGTAGAAGTGGTCGTAGACATCAACGATGCGGTCTCTGCTGTCATGCTTCTCTGATCGTGAACCGGTTCACACCTGTTGATATTGTTGTCTTATGGCCCACAGGTGGATTGGTGTTTGTGGTGCTGACCAACAGTCATGGTGAACATCCCAGAATTCTATGCAGGGAAACATGTGCTCATCACCGGAGCGACAGGCTTCATGGGAAAGGTACAGTGACGGAACCGATTTTTCATAATATAAATTAGTAAATGTTCTTTTGTCCCACGGACATTGAAGGCACCCCTGGTATTGTTGAACATTTCTTCAGTACATGATCTGAATGGTGTGAGTGTCAGATGTATCCCATAATTCTCCTGGTCTTCGTTCCTGTCATCGGTCCAGGTGCTGCTGGAGAAGCTGCTGCGCTCCTGTCCACAGGTCCGACTGGTCTACGTGCTGGTCAGGCCCAAGGCCGGTCAGTGCCCTCAGGCCCGCATCACAGACATGATCAACTGCAGGGTAAGGGTGGAGATGGTGGGGTCAAGAGTCGTTGGTTGGAGCGGCTCTCCGAGTCTGAAACTCATTTCCTTCTTCTCCTCAGCTGTTTGAGAGGCTGCAGGAGGAACAGCCGGAGTTCTCAGAGAAAATCGTGGCAGTGAAAAGTGACCTGACTCAGCCACAGCTGGACCTGAGTGACCATGACCAGAAGGTTCTGATTGAGAATGTCAACATCGTCTTCCACTGCGCTGCCACCATCAGGTTCAACGAGCCACTCAAGTGAGTGTCACTCATTTTATCTTCAGCCCTCTGGAAGTCTCTGTTCTCTCCTGTGTGTTGTCTGTTCGCTCACACGTTCCTACAACATTCGTGTTAACACGAGGTGACAGCAGGTCACCTGACCCAGAAGAACACCTGGTCCACAAAGAGTCATACATCATCAGTGTTTTTCCTGTAAAAGACTAATTATTATCTGTGTACTCTGGTGCAGATACTGGAGAACTTTGTTCCTCAGGATCTAAATCCAGCCCTCAGTCTGTGACCATCCCATAATAATCTGTCACAGACATGATATCAATAAACATAACCTTCACACCTGATCTCTGTTACCTCTTGACATTGAGTGCAAAAAACAAATACAAAGAAGCAGATTTTCTCAAAAACCTGTTCAGCCACAAAAGAGGACTGGTTCCTGTCCTTGGGGAAGTGGCCACTCCCTCTGTGGAGGTGGGGTTATATTTAAAATGGTTCCCTTACATTTAGAAATAAAATATACCAGCAGCCCGGGAGGGTGACGGGGGAGTCCAGTGGCTCAGTACTGATTCTTTGTTCTCTCCTGTCAGAGACGCGGTGCAGCTGAACGTCCTGGCCACTCAGAAGATGCTGTCCCTGGCACATAGGATGAAGAACTTGGATGTCTTCATCCACGTTTCCACGGCCTACGCCAACTGTGATCGAGAGCTCATCGAGGAAGTCGTCTACCCTCCACCCGTGGACTACCGCAGACTGATGGACACCCTGGAGTAAGTCTTGTCCGTCCCTCCGTCTGTCTTGTCATCACAGCGGATCCGTCTGGTTGGCTGACTCAGACTCCGTCTGATTACAGCTGTGTCTGTTCCCTGGTCACCCTCCCCCCGCTCAGGTGTCTGTGGTAGTCTTCATTATAATGTCCTGGTTGTCCTCCCTCAGCTGGATGGACGATGACCTGGTCTCTACTCTGACACCAAAGCTGTTGGGGAAGCGTCCCAACACTTACACCTACACCAAGGCCCTGGCTGAGTACCTGCTGCAGCAGGAGGCTGGAGACCTGAACGTGGCCATCGTCAGACCCTCCATCGTTGGAGCCAGCTGGAAAGAACCGTTCCCAGTGAGAACCTCAGCTTTGTTCCTTCGCCGTGTTCTGGTTCTCTTGGCTCTTTAACACAGGGTTAGCTCCTGCTAGCTACGCTAACCCTGGGTAAACCGATGAGTGCTCATGTTCTCTCTTCTGCCACCTTCAGGGCTGGATTGATAATTTCAATGGTCCCAGTGGAATCTTCATTGCAGTGAGTCTTTAACCCTTTGTTGACCTCTTTAAATGTTAAACAGATGTTTGTCACCAGGAAAACAGCGACGACAACACAGTCTTATTTGACATTTAGAGAGTGTGTCAACTGTAGTGGAAATTAAGATATGTATGTATTTACAAGTACTGTAGTTTACAGTACTGTGGTAAAATAAGTAAATGTCCAAAAAGAACAGTTTTTTTATTATTTTGTTTCCATTTCCAGTCCTAACACTTTTGTCATCGCCCTCTGCAGGCTGGTAAAGGAATTCTCCGTACGATGAGGGCCTCAAATGACGCCGTGGCTGATCTGGTTCCTGTAGACGTGGTCATCAATGCCACGTTGGCTGCAGCCTGGTTCTCTGGGTCACAGTTGAAAACCAGGTCAGTGAGTTCTTGCTGTCGGAATACTGGTTAACTCCACCATGATGCTACCACAGTTAGTTAGCTAACCACTTAGTTAGTTAGTTTTTAACCAGTCAGTCGGTCAGTTACTGTTATTTCTGGACTATAAGTTGCTACATTTTTCACACCCTTTGAACCCTGTGGCTTAAACAATGATGCAGTTAATCTATGGACGTTTACGGGCTAACGAAGTTCATACCTCTATCGATCAATGTCTTTTGTCGTAGGCCCCTGTGTTAAACTAGTAGTGTAGGTCTGTCTGTGAATGGCTGTGTGCGTACATGTGCGTGAGAGCGAGTGAACGGTAGCTGAAGTTGAGCACTGTCATGTTGAAGCAAGAGTTGGTTATAAAGGAGCTGTTAGAAACGCTGTTTATGTTATGTTGTGCCCCCTCCCCCTACTCTGCCCCCCAGGCCAAAGAACATGTTGGTGTACAACTGCACCACCGGGGGGATCAACCCCTTCCACTGGGGAGAAGTTGGTGAGAAG